CCGTTAAGTTGAGAATTTCTGATTGTATGAGGTAGTCCACTCTCGTAATCCATTTTTGTCATTCAGAATGATGTAGATGAGAGGAGAGGAGAGGAGATGAGAGAAGAGGATTCCAGTTATGTCATTCAATGTGAATTGGTTCTGTTCTGTGGTAATTCCACATTATCTTATCAGAAATGTAGTCCCACACTAGGATGAAACGCCCTTCCAGTGATTCCATGTTGTTTATGGTGTTCTAGCTTCAATCGACTGATGATTTCAATTATTGAAATTACACATTACTTCATCGAATCAATGACGAGTCACTGTTCTAATGATTGTGAACATAGAGAGTGGTCGACATTGTCTGATGAACACTGCAAATCCCACTACCGTTTATATATATATTAATCAATAGCTGTAAGAGTTTATCAGCACACAGATCCTCGACATGGTGACAACATGGACACGAGTGATGGAGAATATTCGAATGGAAGTGTTGTGAATGTGATGATTCGACATACAGCTAGATATACAGACAGAAAGACAGATAGATAGATGGATAGATAGGTGGCTGTTGAAATACTAGTTGAGATCTGTGTGATCATTGAGGCGTGTTCGAATCTCAGTATTTATGTACATGTATATTTTTTGGAACATTGCTAAGTTTGCTTGTGTGTGTGTGTGATGAGAGGCATGACAATGATGAACACAATCATCAGTAATTTTCGTCTATTTAATTGTATCTAAATCCGATCAAGAATTGAGTACAAATCACTGATTGACTGACTGGTTGTTTACTTGGTCACTTTCATATTAACATGTGTTCATATATAATATATGTGTATGTGTATGTGTATGGGTATGCAATCAGATTGTATGTATAGTGAGAGACATTACTGGACTGAGACATTCACTCGTCACTATGTCATGTAACGATTTTCTTGTTGATGGAAATCTGTACATTCCATTCAAACATGACTGTAATTCATAATATAATAATGAATATTGTACCCATCACTACTACTCCCACTCCTACAACAACTACTCCTACAGCTACAACTACTATCACTACTACTTCACCTACTCATCAATCTATTCTACCTGATTTAATCGATTGGAAATTATTATGAATGTTGTTGTTGTTTCAATTTGTAGCAATGTGTTCACACTTTCCAAGTGAACATCTACAGTAGTAATAAAATGAAGCATGAATCTTACCACCATGGTGACCACACAATCCTCCTACTTATGATTACTGAGTTCATTGTAATGATTTCATAATTGAAATATGTGTGTTTTGGTATTGATTTGAGTATGTATGGACAAGTTGTTATTTGGAAGTGATTGAGAATGGTGATGATTTGCAACGATCTACTTACTCATTGTAAATTAGAATGAATTTCACTAGTTCTCAATTGTAACTTGTCCAATAATACGTTGTAAGTTAGTTAGTCTTTCCCAATTTGCACACCTCTACTTCGTTCTGTATATTATAGTGTGATTCATCAGCTACTATGTATTTGTGTTTGTTGATCTACTCAGTCAGTGTATGTTTGTGATCACAGTGTTTGTGAACCTACGTAGTTTGATTGAGTTGGATTATTTGAGTGATGTGATCATGTATTTTCATTGATAATACGAATCAATGTATGTGAATGAGCGTTGAGAACGTGTGAGCATTGAAGATGTGATTCGTTGTAGTTAGACACTCTTTATTGATAATTTGCATCCTGATCCGTATTACAGTTAATGGAACTCAATACCTTTTACTTTATATGCAAAAACTTAATTTATTGGCGATTGAACCGGTATCTCAACGTGTACGTGTTCAACTTCAATCAATTCACAATATTACTGTTTTTTATTATTCTCTGACTGTTGCAATAATCTGTATGATTGAGTTGTCATGGCAACATTCAGTTACTTATCAAATCTTTTAAATTTCTGTTAAAGAATGGCATGAAATATTGTCAATATACATTCATCCGTATCACTTTAATAAAGAGTTACTAAAAAATATTTTAAACGCCATCACCTTATCCACTTAGTTACTGAGTCCTGATAGCCACTTGCTTGTGCAATGGGGTGAAGTTAAATTCACTGGGATTTGTTTACTTAAATCTTCCCATTGATGTTTAGGACATCAATTCTGAGATGTAGATATATCCAGCTGACAATTCCCAAATAGGACGAAACGCGCATCAAAACTGGATTCCACTGCTAGCCACTATCCACATTTGTTTAGAATGCTTGTGAATTAAGGCAATATTGAGACAATACACATAGTATTCAAATATGACAGTAAGAGACTAATCAATTGTAGTCCTAAATAACGATCGGAAGATACAAGTAAGCAATATCAAGTGAATTTATGTAGTTACTATTTCAGTCAGTCAGTCAGTTACAACGTAGAATTTCGTACGTACGTACATCAGTTCGAGTTGCCACATTACATCAGCACAGAGATGCAGTTGTCGATTGAAATCCCGTAGTGATAGAGGTGGTAAGAACATAAGCAGTAATCGCAAACATTAGGGTTGGGAGATGTTAGTTAAAGAGTATAATCCAGTGAAATAAATTTGGAAAGAGGAAAAAAGAGACAAGGAGGATTCAGGAAATTCGAATTTGGGAGAACACAAAGAATGGATGCACCTGCGCC